CTATCGTTTGATCCTCGTTTCTACAAGAAAAATCAGGAAAATCAATATATAGGTCATAGGTCTGGCTAAAGGGGGAACAACCAATCCACACCTGGCGTGACTGGATGTGACTGATCACGTTGGTACATAAAACCACTATTCAGTTTTGGAGTTCAGCCCATGATTACATATGTATGGTTTCCATCTTAGATAATTACCATTAACTACAATGTGAGGCCCCGCAGTTATGTAAGTTGGTTTAGATTCGCCCCAGTAACTAGTTCGTTATTTGCGTACCATAAACCATAGTGAAATTGGAGTTATGTGCACCAACTGAACGCTATCGATCGGGGGCCTCACGACTTGTACCTATTTAGGACATCATGTGTTTTTTTCATGGGAGGTCCACCGAGTCATACAAGGAGAGGTTCACCAGTCGCGAAGGGAAAGTCCGAAAGCATATTCCAATGATTTCCAAATGAAGTGTGTTTCTCCAACAGAAACATGTTTTTCCCACCTGCCAGGTGAGGGTTGTTAGATTTTATCAGAGCTGTTCTCCTCCTCCTCCTCCGCCTCCTCCGCCTCCTCTGCCTCCTCCGCCTCGTCACCCGCCGCCTCCTCCTCGCAGTCCAGATCCCAGTGGGCACAGCCGGACCTCCACCGCGAGCTCCAGATCGCAGTGGGCACTGCCGGACCTCAACCGCGACTTCCAGATCCCAGTGGGCACTGCCGGACCTCAACGGGAAGAATGTGAGAAAAGATGTCAGACAGAATGTCAGAAGATATGCCAGATAGAATGCCAGAAAGAATGTCAGAAAGAATGTCAGAAGAGATGCCAAGAAGATATGCCAGAAAGAATGTCAGAAGATATGTCAGATAGAATGTCAGAAGATATGCCAGATAGAATGCCAGAAAAAATGTCAGAAGATATGCCAGATAGAATGTCAGAAAGAATGTCAGAAGATATGCCAGAAAGAATGTCATAAGATATGCCAGAAAGAATTTTCTGAATGCCACAAGATATGCCAGAAAGAATATCAGAATATATGCCAGATAGTGTGCCAGAAAGAATGTCAGAAGATATGCCAGATAGAATGCCAGAAAGAATGTCAGAAAGAATGTCAGAAGATATGCCAGAACATATGCCAGAAGATATGCCAGATAAAATACCAAATAGGATGCCAGAAAATATGTCAGAATATATGCCAGATAGAATGCCAGAAGATATGACAGATAGAATGCCAGAAGATTTGCCAGATAGAATGCCAGAAGATTTGCCAGATAGAATGCCAAAAGATATGCCAGAAGATATGCCAGATAGAATGCCAGAAGATATGACAGATAGAATGCCAGAAGATATGCCAGTAAGAAAATGTATACATGTCATGGTGGGGATCACACGAAGTAAAGTTATTTTTACTGCTACCATGTGGATTCGTGCACCCTGTAGTTATACAGCAACCTCGATGGTGGCAAAATGGAATTCTTTCAACGGAAGAGCATGCTTATATATGGTTATTAGTTATTAGCAACATGGCTATGAGTGAAAACCTGGGGAAACCTGGATGCTACCCTAAGTCATAGCTGGTTAATTGATGTTTATTTCCGAAATATATAATAGGTTTGGACCCATCCCCACATACCAACATATACCAACTGTGATGCACCAAAGGGTAGCCACTCGCTTTTCATGGTCGGGCCCCTTGGCTGACAGTGCGCTAAGACGCGTCACAGCTCCAAAATGCTTAGCATTCTGAGTATGCAGGAGCGGCAAAAAAGAAGACGTCGATCCGCACCAACTGTGGGGAAATAATGGAAATACATTACGGAATATGGGCCATCAATGTCAATGTCCGAAAACATCCCAACCCTAATTCAAGAGAATCAACTGAAAGGTTTCCAAAATATGACTCATTATTGGCTGTGGGTCTGTTACACCATGAACCCTCCCAAAGATATCACTTAAAGATTTATCGGTTCTTAATCTTCGAAAGGAACACAGCATAAAGCAACTTTGAATTCACCAACCGTTTTTTTCTGTCTGGTTGGTAGTATACCTACCCCTCTGAAAAAAATGTTACTGTAGTCAGTTGGGATGATTATTCCCAATATATGGGAAACATAATCCAAATGTTCCAAACCACCAACCAGCTATATTTATAGGTATCATAAACCATAGTTATCTTAGTACAGCTATCAGGCTATCAGCGGCGATCATTAATATTTGCATCACCAAACAGAATTGCCCGGGAAAAAAAACATCTCCAGTCTGCAGTTGTTGAGAATCTGTAGCCACTGATGATTCTATGATTCCAGTGGAAGGTGCAGGTTTTGGCTACCTTCCACACCTTTACTATGGTTTAATATGGTTTTATAGGGATGATAATGGGATAATAAAGGGATAATACTAGGATATTGATGGATATACCCTCTAGTAAACTAACAGTTTGCTATTGAAAATGGCCATTGAAACAGTTGATTTTCCGATAAGAAATGGTGATGTTCCATAGTTATGTTAGTTTACGAAAGGAATTGGCCAGTCCTACTGACTCCCCACCTATCTCAAATCACAGCTATAAGATGTTATAAGCACGTACAATGTGGGGCCCTCCCAGTCATGTTATGTTTCTTGGTTTGTAAATGCCATGAATACTGGCTAGTTAGCCAACCATAGTTAGCCAAGTTATTTGCACCAACTTGGCTATCGTTTAGGGGCCCTAGGCCCTACCTTGTAGATTCCCTTGCATCCCTAAGCCGTCTACAAATCGACTGCACCCCGCTGTCGGATGCAACCCACATTTGTCAATTCACTTGGACGTGCGTCTCATATTTATATAGGAATAGAACATGGAACATATCCTGGTACAAGTAATTAGAACACAAACGCATTTGGGATAACCACATGTTTAATCATGTGTGCATCTCTATATTATCCTCTGGCTATTTGACATAGCAATGAAAATGGCCCGTGTATAGCTGATTTATTTGAAAATTACCTATTAAATATTACTGGTGATGTTCCAGTTCGCTACGTTACGGAACCAAACGGTATCACATATTATCTATCTACAAGTCATATACAAGTGATTAATTAATCATATGCATAACTCATATACCTATCAATTAATCCACTTGGATTACATAACTCATATACAAGTCATCAATCCAGTTGCAATTTGCACATGCAGCTGGAGATCACTATCTCATGGTACAAATTGGAAGTCATCCCATTGAAGCGTCCAAGCAGTGATAGGTTTGAAGAATCCATGTATATCAACAATACATATACGGTGTGTATATATAATAGATAAGAACACAATATGAAAATAAATATATTATATAATCATATTCCTCATTAAAAAAAACATACTCCATGCCCCGCAGGGGTCACATGGGGTCACTAATGTCAATTTCGCCACTCCACACTCAGAGTTGGATGCTGCGCGGAATGGATGGCCAACCTGGATGTTCCACGATGTCAATATCGCATCCCGGTGTGCTATCATCATCTCACTTTACCCTCTGGGAAACTAACAGTTTGCTATGGAAAATCACAATCTCCAATAGGTACATCAACTATTTCAAAAAGGGCCATGTTCAATAGCTATGTTAAATTACCAGAAGGTTTTTTTGAGGGACGGGAAGTTAGGGTCCGCACTTCACCAAATCTGCATCTGCCATGGAACATCCAGTCCTGCGGCCAGCCTGGCGGATTTCGCGAGGACTCCATGACTCTGTCTTCGCTCAAAAATTGAGTCTCTGCCGCGACCAAAAAAAAAGCCGTGCCAAAGCTCCACAGCAGTGGCGCTGAAGATCGCTGGAGATCGCGATCGGTTCCAGGTCATGATTGAAAAACATGCCACAGGTTTAACCATGCCACGTGTTATTCATCAAAAGTTGTTAACACGGTGACCGTGATTTGTGTTCTGAAAAACCTTTCTCATTAGATTAAACAATGTGCAAAAAACACATAGACAATCTGGGGACTTCACCAACAGAAATGGGATGGACACCAGAAAGAACAGTGGGGAATTTCCCGGGAAAAAACAACTCCAAACTTTTTTTTTGTGAGGGCATTCATGGAGAGACTTTCCCGGCCAGATCTATATACATCACAGAAAGATTCACCATGGGAAAGTTTCACCATGTCAAGATGGGATGAGAGCCCATGGTGAATTGGAGCCCCTGGAGCCTCTCATCCCATCCCAGAACTGAATCCATGGTCATTGGGTTTATCTCAATCTTGAGTTGAACATGGTCTGATGATGCCCCAGCCGGTGGTTCCAAGGTGGTCCATCTTGTGGTCCGGCACATATGACGACACATAACCCGGTTTTCCATCGTTTTTGTGTTGACGAATATCTCTGTTATTTACATAGAAGACTCAAGTTTGAGATATTCATGGCTGGTGAGGCTAGGTAAGATTGTATAGTAACTTATGGATAAATGAATATCTCTGTGCCCAGTAGTTACCATAAGGTAAACCGTTTACAGCGATATGCCCAGTATTGCTCACATCGGTTTGGAAGAGAGATGATTCTAGAGATTATCCCTGGACCTGAGGCAAACAGGTGTTGCCACAAGCACCTCATAGCAAAAAAATGCTGCGGATATCTCGCCAACAATGTGGCCGCGCCAGTTATGTTTGTTGGTTTATAATTCCCATGAATATGATATCCCCTATTCAAACCATGGTTAGCCAAGTTATTTGCACCAACTGGCGATTTCGTGAAACAAACGATTTCTGAAGGATGATGAAATCCGTCCATGCCACTGGCAAGGTAAGTTATCGAACGTCGAACAACCATGTTCGCATACCCAACATGTTTGGGTGGCAAAGGGGACATGTTCAACAATTCCTCATTTACCCTCTGGCAATTTAACATAGCTATACAAAATGGACCATTTAGTTCGTTGATTTACCTATCAAACATGGTAATCTTCCAGTTGGGGTAAGTGAAATCATGATGAATCACCAAATCACCATCATTAACCATCATTAATCACCATGTCTTGTGTGTTTTCATATCATTAATCAGCAGCACACACCTGGACGATCACACGTAGCCATCCTCAGTCAAGGTGTCGAAGTCAATCCGAGGGAACGAACGAAGATTTGTTTAAAAAAACGAAGTCCATTTGGATGGTACATTTGAGCATGTCTATGTCTATATCTATACCTATCTAAATATACGTATATATATATATATATATATAAATAAGTGTGTAGATATTGTGTTCATTCCTTTGGTCCCATTTAGCTTGAAAGCTTGAAATCGCGCCAAAAGTCAAAAGAATGTGAGGGTCCGGCCAGAACATTCCGCCGACACACACGTACGAAATGACAAATCTAATTCACACTTTCTACATCTCCAGAAATCTGGTAATGAAAAGAGTTAGAGATTTTCATGGGAACGTAATCTATAAATTGGGGAGATTTTCCATTGCCACGTTTGATTACTGATATTACTGGAGGGTAATTGGAGTTTTGAAAGCCCGATAGCCACGTGATATCCCAAATAACTGAAGCGTCCAAAAAATTGTAAAGCCCAACAGGAACGCTTGCAGCCAAAGGATCTAAAGTCCACTCCGGCTGTTGGAAGATTGTTGTGGCTTTCCTCGGGGTAGCAAACCGAATCCAGGTATGGTGTTTACCGTCCCAGCTGGGGGCATGTTGTCACAAGATATATCAAAATATCATTGAAAACATATTCACATGACATCCAATATGCCCATCATTTTTCTGGTTGATGGTGGTTGAGCCACCTACCCCTCTCAAAAATATGAGTTCGTCAGTTGGGATGATGACATTCCCAACTGAATGGAAAGTCGTAAAATTCCATGGTTCCAGTCACCACCAATCAGTTTCTGATTAAACTCATACGGTGGCCTCATTTGCTACATTGCTACATGGCACAGCCGGCTGCCCTTGGCTGGTTCTGAATGTTGTACCTGCAGCACCCAACAATGCAACTTGATCTGCCATACCCTCTGGTAGTGACTAAGAGTTTGCTATTGAAGCCATTTTGCCATTTAGAAATAGTTGATTTACCCATTAAACATGCTGGATCTTTCCATAGTTTTTTGGGACTGTTTGCCAGAGGGTCAGTCGGGTCTTTTGATATAGAGAAAATCCATCTGAATGGAGATTCTGGTTGGATATCTGGTTGGATCACATGGCTGGTTGGTGGTGGTTGAGCCACCTACCCCTCTGAAAAATGATGGAGTTCGTCAGTTGGGATGATGAAATTCCCATATATACTATCGGAAAGTCATAAAATTCCATGGTTCCAAACCACCAACTAGGGATTTAATCTCGGACATTACCACCTTCGATTTTTGACGGTCAAAATCCATCGAGTCACATGACATGAGATGCTTAGAACAAGCTTGGTTGGGAATTGACTTAATGCCAAGCGTGGATTTCATTCACAACAACATTTCTCTTTCAAAAATAGGGGATACCTCAAACTACCAATCAAACAAGATAAACCACAATTATCAACCATCTGGGTAAATCATAATATTTCACTAACCTGAATCTTGTGGCCATTTGAGGATGATTTCCCTATTGTTTCCCCTACTAACCATCATTCCAGGGCTCGGAGGCGACGTGAGGTCGTAAAAAAAATACCCAGAACCATGGCATTTTGGGATCACATCAGGCTGTTACCCTATGATTCAGACAACATCAGGCTGTTGCCCTTCTGGTGTGAAAATGGGGATCTGGTTATGGCCATTTCATGCATCCTTTACTGGGGAGTAGTATGAGAATTGATGATTCACCGTTGGATTTTGGAGTGATGAACCATTGGATTTTTTTTTGCGCCAAGGTTCTTGCAATCGTCCACTGTAGAATCATAAGGCCTCTGTTCCACCCCCTCCCTGGGACCCTTGGGACCCTTGGCACCCTTGGGACCTCCCACTGGCACCGGCACCATCGTAATGGTGATTTGGCTGCAGTGGCGGGGGGTTAAACATCTTTGTTCTTGGGGCTGTTGAACAACTTCAGAATTCGTTGTAATTAAAAGTTTTTTTCTGTGCTGACTATATTTTTTGGTGCTTCCTGGTTATCTAAAGTCGCTGTGGAAAATCACCATTTTTAAAAATAGGAACATCATCATGAATCATGTATACAGAAGCGCCATGATTCATTTTTATATTTTAAGGAAGTCCGCTCTTGAAACGGAAGAGCTCCATTGAAAATAATCATTTGGGAGTGCCGCAGTGCTGAAAACTTCGATCCATGTTTTTTCTCTTGGGATGCGGACGGCCATCCCTAGAAAATTGTCCACGGCTGACATGTTTTTTCGCTGAAAAAATATTGGTCTGGGGCATTTAAGTGATTGAGCTATCACCCATGGGATGTAAACCAGAAAAACAACTGAGCAGTGGAAGTAAACCATAGTAAACCCATAAAATCAACATATCATGGATTCATCTGGGAATCACTTAGACTTTTCCAAAGGATTTGTGTTTTTTTTGTCCGATAGATATTATTCATAGGGAAATCCCCAATTGAGAATGGTTGATTTTCGTGGGGATTCCCGCAATTTTCCTGGATGACATGGTCATCTCGAATTGATATAAAGAACATGTTAATAACTAATAAACCAGCAAAAAAAACATCAACCATACTCTATTGATTGAAAAAAGTGCCATTCGTTCTTCATGGTTAAAATCCCGGAGGAAAAACTACAGAAACAAAGAGTGGTTGAGTACCTAAAATGTCGTGGTTGAAACCCGATTTCAATATATATATATATATATACACATACATACATATACAGTGCAACGCATAAATGATCAACGACTATGAATTGTACAGTTTTTTAGGTTACCACCATTAAAACCGGCTGATTCATAGGTTAGTAGTAACAAAATGCGTATGTTTGTTCAAGACAGCAGAATGCCCAATCAAATACAAAAACACCCCCAGCCTCCAAAATTACAATGTGGTGCCCCCCAGTTGCCAAATAGTTCATAAACCTCTTTAAGAAGTTTGATATATCCAACATAAATCCTACTTGCCTTTCTTGGGGGCACCACGTTGTACCTACGTACGTTGATTTTTTAAAAAGTGCCCCCCAACCTATGTTTGTTGGTGTAGTTGCACCCCTCTAACTTTAGTTAGAACTATTGCAAACCATAGAATGCACCTAGTTGTTTCAACAAGTTTAGCCAAATATGGCGGCATTGTGTCCCATCTTATTTCCGGGTGAGTCATGTGTAAATTCCCTATGAAAATGGAGGGTTAAATCTTGAATCCCCAAATTGCAGGTTAGAAAAGAAACTTAGCTATCTTAAGACACATATGCCATTCTATCTAATTTAGTTAAGAAGCTTGATGCTTAGGTGGTTAAAGATATCTAGCTTAGTTGGTTTATATCCCATCAAATGATAGACACCAACTATATCCAGCTTAAATCAATTAACTTAGCTATCCCAACTCTATCCAAAGAGAGGTTCCAATCCATGGGGGCACCCAGAAATCATAAAATCATATCATTTTCGGATATACCATTGTATGTAAACCATCCAGCTATTGGGAGTAATATTGGTAAAACAGCAATAAACCCAATAAAACATCCCCCAGTCATCACCATGTAAATAAGGTGGTATGGGGGCACCATTCCCAGTCATGGGTGGTAAAAATGGCAGTGTTTTTCCCACATTACCCTCATAGCAAACCTCGAAATCTCCGGTTTGTTACACCAACTCGTCAGGGAACCAGGTCAAGGCTGATTGCGAAGGGCTTCCGTATTGGAGGGCCAGCACCTACCATGGTGATTCCATGCTGAAGGATTACTTGTTCAACACGTTGGAGTTTGTTCCCCACCTGCCAGGTGAGGGTTGTTAGATTTTATCAGAGCGCATGCCCGCCCGCCGCCTCTTCCTCCTCCTCCTCCTCCTCGACTAGCTGTCCTCCTCGCCCTCCTCCTCGCCTCCGCCTCTTCCACCTCCACTTCCGCCTTGCCAACCTTGCCAACTCGTCGCCAAGCTCTTCGCCAACTTCCCAGCTCAGTGCGCACCGCTGGACCTCAACCTGCGAGCTGCCCAGCTCAGTGTGCACCGCTGGACCTCAGGCTGCGAGCTGCCCAGCTCAGTGTGCACCGCTGGACCTCAACCGGGGACCTGCCCAGCTCAGGTGCACCGCTGGACCTCAACCCGGGACCTGCCCAGCTCAGTGTGCACCGCTGGACCTCAACCTGGGACCTGCCCAGCTCAGTGTGCACCGCTGGACCTCAACCTGGGACCTGCCCAGCTCAGTGTGCACCGCTGGACCTCAACGGCCAGATAGAATGCCAGAAGATATGCCAGATGGAATGACAAATAGAATGCCAGAAGATATGCCAGATAAAATGCCATGAGATATGTCAGATAGTATGCCAAAAGATATGCCAGATAGAATGCCACAAGATATGCCAGATAGAATCCCAGAAGATTTGCAAGATAATATGCCAGAAGATATGCCAGATAGAATGCCAGAAGATATGCCAGATAATATGCCAGAAGATATGCCAGATAGAATGGCAGAAGATATGCCAGATAGAATGCCAGAAGATATGCCAGATAGAATGGCAGAAGATATGCCAGATAGAATGCCAGAAGATATGCCAGAAGATATGCCAGATAGAATGCCAGATAGAATGCCAGAAGATATGTCAGAATATATGCCAGAAGATATGCCAGATAGAATGCCAGAAGATTTGCCAGATAGAATGCCAGAAGATATGCCAGAACATATGCCAGAAGTTATGCCAGATAGAATGCCAGAAGATTTGCCCAGTAAGAAATGTATAAATTGTCATGGTGGGGAAGAGATGGGATCACACAAAGTAAATAATTTTGAGAGTCATTGAAGTCTTTTTACAATATACCCTCTGGTAATTTAACAAGCTATTGAAAATGGCAATTTTATTAAGTTGATTTTCCCATACTAAATGAGTGATTTTCCATAGTTAACGTTAGTTTACCGAGGGGTAACTCAACTCAACCAACGTCATAATGTTGCTTGTAAGTGTTTGCTAAAATTCTAAATTATCCCAATGATGGACAAGGGTAATGTGCGAATGTTTCATTAAGCTAAGGGATTAGCTTTCCTAAAAAATTGAACACTGCGCTTCTTCTGTGAAACCAAGAATACTTAATACTAAGAATATGGTGAACCATCGATTTTTGTTGAGGACAGTACACAAAAACACGGAAAACAATGACTATTCGCCCAGGGATTTGGGTACCCAAAATTGTAATTTCAGAAACTACATAGCCTACATAAGCTATATGGAAGCAATGGCCCAGTCGAAATAGTGGATTTCACCCATTAGACAAATGGGGAAATCTTTCCATATAAATCACCATTTCCCATGATTTTTCCATGGTTTCCCATAGAAATTGGTGATTTACCCAGCTATAAAATGGTGATTTTCGTCTTTCAGTTCGTGTTATATTGGGACGGACCAGGCTGGGTATCTTGGATCCAAAAATCTCGGAACCAGGACCCAGTGGCTACGTGAAAAGTTAAAACCAGGCGGGTCAGTAAAGAAGGTAATATAAGACTAACAATAGGAATAAATATAATGAAAGGGTTTTTTTGTTTTGATTGATTCACGTGAGAAGTGGTGGGGGAAGAGGAGGAGAGAGGGAAGAGAAAGAGGAGAAGAAAGGTAGAAAAGAAAGATAGAAGGCGAAGGAAGGAAAGAGAGAGAAAAGAGAGAACGGAAGAGAAGAGAATGGGAAAATAGGTGTAGAACATTTCAAGGGATAGAACGTAAGTGTACAGATAAATCACAAGAGGAGAGGAAGCAAGAGAAATATAAGAATAAGAATAGGAAAAAAATAGGAACAATAAGATAAAAAATAATAAGATATAATTAATAGAATAAAATAAATCGTATAAAATATAAATAAGAATATATATCATATAAATAGTAAAGAATAAGAGATATAAGATAATGACAATGGGACTCTGGTTGATGGTTTTAACCATCTTGAAAAATATGAAAGTCAATTGGGATTATTATTCCAAATATATGGGAAAATAAAAATGTTCCAAACCACCAACCAGGACTAGTATATTCCTATTGCTATATAGGCTTATACTACATTATAATCATACAGGATGGTGCCCCCCAATTATGTTCCTTGGTTTATAGCACCACCTATATAAATATATACTGGTTGGTGGTATACCTACCCCTCTGAAAAAATATGAGTTCGTCAGTTGGGATGATGAAATTCCCAACTGAATGGAAAAATAAAATTCATCTCCCAAACCACCAACCAGATATATCATCCGAATACATGCGAGTTGAGTGTATTCGAGACGTATCACCATCCAGTGTTTTTGGGCAGCCAATTCTGATCGGCACTGAAATTGGCAGGTGAAATCACCATATTTTTTGTTTAATTTGCCCTTCAGTAAATTAACAGACAGCTTGGCAGATAGGGGTTGGAAGATTAGTTTCAACTAGGAGTTGTTTTTTTCAGGGTCAATATTGATTTACCAGAGGGTACTATCGCCCTGAAGAAAATAGACAATTCCCTACAATATTCCAAAAAAGGCAGCTAGAGCCTTCAGATTTTACTCATTCTAAGAATAGAATTTCGATATGTTCCTTAAGTGTATCCAGCATATCTAAATCGACGTTTACCGTAAATATCTATGACCCAAGGACAATGCGTATCGTATATAAAGCAGCACAATAGATAGGGGGTGTTCACATTTGGGGGTGCATTTGCACTGAATCACTGAATAGGTATATGACCCCCCAGTGATGTTTGTTGGTTTAGATTCGCCCCAGTAACTAGTTCGTTATAAGTACCATAAACCATAGTTATTGGAGCTATAAATCAACTTAGCTATCTTGGGGGCCTCACATTGTAGGAATTATATACCACGTGAAGGTACACATATCGATATTGTTATACCTACTATGTATATATATATATATAAGAATGGCAGGTCAAGATCACATCTTCCCATTTTTGAATTTAGAAGCTCATTGTTGATCGTTACATTGCCAATGTTAGATATCATGTGTCTATTTTATTCCATTGTTAGTTGCTTACTATTGACTATTTGTTCCTATTCTTATATTCCTATTTGTTAGTCCATCATTATTCCCATGAATCAATTATAACCCTTTGATAATAATATATTCCTATTGTTAGGCTTATATTATATTCATTTAAGTTACCCTCTGGTTATTTAACATAGCTATGGAGAATCACCATTTTTAAGTTATGTAAATAATCATTTTAAACATCTATTTCTATGGGCCATTCTCCATGGCTACGTTAAAAAACCAGGGGGTACATAATAACAATGGGACTAGTATATTCCTATTGCTATACAGGCTTATACTAGATTAGAATCATACAGGATGGTGCCCCCCAGTTATGTTCCTTGGTTTATAGCACCATCTAAATATACTGGTTGGTGGTATACCTACCCCTCTGAAAAAATATGAGTTCGTCAGTTGGGATGATGAAATTCCCAACTGAATGGAAAAATAAAATTCATGTTCCAAATCACCAACCAGATTATGCGCATCATACACTATTGTTATTATAGCTATTTGCACCAACTTAGCTAACAAACTGGGGCCCCCAGATATATCCTGATTATCCCCATTGTTGATTCTAAAATTCCACTAGATCCCGTTAAATCACCAATAAATTCCATTAGATTATAATCATAAATTCCATTAAACCACCATTAAATCACCATTAATAATGGATCTTCCCATGATTTTCCCATTAAATCACCATTAAATCACCATGGTTATTGTCCACAGCCAAGAAGACAAGGATTCCCTCGAGGCCCTCGCCTGGCTTGCAGAGATCACCTGTCGCGCAAGTCCTTGACCTGCGATGTTTTTTTTTGGGATTTCGGTGGCAAGTCGTGGCCTGCAACCAGGGATTCTCCTACATTTATATACATATACATAAATATCTATGTATACACATTCATAGAGATACATATATATATATATATGTATTTATTATATGTATTCATATATATATATATATATATGTATACATGTATATATATATATATTTCTATCTATCTATCTATCTATCTATCTATCTACAATTAAATACATGTATATACATATATATATATATATATCATATCCTACCGAATGGGGCCCCAGTTTGTTAGCTAAGTTGGTGCAAATAACTATAATAACAATAGTGTATGATCCGCATAATCTGGTTGGTGATTTGGAACATGAATTTTATTTTTCCATTCAGTTGGGAATTTCATCATCCCAACTGACGAACTCATATTTTTTCAGAGGGGTAGGTATACCACCAACCAGTATATTTAGATGGTGCTATAAACCAAGGAACATAAGTGGGGGCACCATCCTGTATTGTATAGCATGTTATACCCCGTATTATATTCCACTCTGCATTAAGTATATATTAAGTATAAGTATGATGGTAATATGAAATTATATCATATATTTGTTTGTATTATCCATCAACATGCTCGCCATTAATATGCATCCAATTATATCCATCAACATGCTCGCCTTCAAACACCATTTCTGCTAGTTAGATCATTTAAATCACATTAAACCCTCCATTCATAGCCATTTACATGCTTGTTCCCACAATGTGATACCCCCTACTTAGCTGAGTTGGTTCATAAGTGGGTTTACTCCGGTTTGAACATAAAGTTGGATGGGTTTATGACACAAACATAAGTGGGCGGCAAGCACCACCTTCTGGTTTGTCATCATATTCTTAATTCTACAATGGGGAGCCCCATAGTTATAAGTTGGTTTATAACCCCCATGAATACTATATATATATACAATTATATATATATTAACCATAGAATTCGTCAAGTTATGTGCACCAACTTAGCTATCTTTTGGCCCCATATTGTATCAGTAGATGCCTTAAATAAAAATGGGAACCGGTCACCTGCCAAGGGACCGATCCGTCCCACACGCACATAAAGCGGTGTCGCGGAGCCGTTGGCACCGCGTCCAAACCGCGTCGCATTGGGCTGGAAACGCAAGGACCGCGCTGAACCGCGATAGATCCTTGGCTTGGAACGGGGGACCCAAGTTTGCACTGTTCTTTTTTGGGTGAGATGAAAACGGTGAGATGATGAAAAAACTGGAGAAACCATACTTGATCTTCAAAGAAAAATGTTTATAGAAATTAAAGTATGGTTTCTATAAATGCTTTCTATAAATTATTGACCTTGTCCCACTTCGAAGTGTATGATATTGGGTTCCGTTGCAAACGATCAATGCTATCCCCCAAAACTGAAAACTTTAACGGATCAATTCCAAGGCTGAGTCTGTCAACGCTCTAACGTGGGATAAAGAAGGAATTATGAATCCCAAAACATAATTTAAGGAGCTCATGAGATGTTATGAGCCCCAAATTATCTTGGAGGTTGTTTCAAGTTGCTCTACATTATCGCGTTTGATATTATGTAACTATTCAGCGCTGCGTGGGATTGTGTCAGGGTCGTTGGGGCATGTTGGGGCGGTCGGGACTCTTACTGAATGAAGAACCTGAGATACCCCACTCACAAAAAGGCAACTACTGGTGGGATATGATGATGCCAACATATCCCCCCAAAAAAAAATACAAATCAAATAACCACCTGCCACCAGCCGTTCACTTCGCGGTTTACCCCTGCCAAGGGACTCAATGTGATTCATCTCAACGACAAAAATGGAGCCATCCTGTGATTACTGGGGAGAGAATTGCGGAGGATTTATGTTCGAAATCGCATTTCATGACATTCCTTCAAGCATTTTTTATTGGCTAAACAGACATATGTCAGGAAACAGACATACCATGACATACCCTCTGGTTTCTATTAACTTAACATAACATAACTATGGAAAGATCCACCATGCTATCAATGGCTAATTCCACTATTTCGACTGGGCCATTTGAGGGTAATCCGTGGGAGAATCCGATTGCTAAAACCGGAGGATTTCCGACCAATTTGTGAGGCCCCCGGCCACGAAATCGCGTGAAAAGTTGGTGAACACATAGCTCCAATAACTCACTGTGGTTTGTGGTACCTATAACGAACTAGTTACTGGGGCTTATTTATAAACCAACATTCACATCACGTTTGGGGGGCCCACATTTTTTAAAATCTATTGATTCACCCCGGAAAATCGCCTGTCCTGTACATCCAGCGAGTCGAGACTACAATTTGATGAGCCCAGGTCTTTAACGAAAGCCCATCCTGACGAAAGCTGATCAGCAACGTTGGGTATCCCCAAAAGAAACCCCAAAGAAACGAATGAGAGAAGCATTAGATTCAACCAACAGAAAAGGATCATGTTGATTTATAACCTGTAAATTTTATACCAGGTTACCAGGTAAGTTGAATTGTCACATGGCTTGTTGCGTTGGGCTCGTTGTAGATGTGCAGTTGGTGGATGGGTGAACATAAACAAACTGACAAGTGGGGAGGTGCACTTTGCAGGAACAGGATAGAATCGGTTATAAGTCCAGCACCATACGGATTTGCCCAAAACGATACCAACAAAAAACACTCGCTCATCATAATATTCGCATATAAAAATACCATTCTGGAGAAATTCCCCATATTCAAATAAACCCATTGGATTTCAGGTGCGGTAGCTTGATCACTCTCTCTCTCTCTCT